TTATCAAAAACAACCAATCAACACATTTTATGCAAGATATAGCAAATTTAGCTCTCAATTTTTAATTTATTTTGAAAAGAAGAACTCACAAAAATTTGGGTTTGTCGAGACACAGCTTTAAGCTTAACTTATTTATAATTGTTGAGTTATTTGCTATCTTCAGAATTTGCATCCCTGCTACGTTTGCGCTGATATTGTCGGTGATACTATTGTCACACCTGGATTCAACAGTATAAGGGTAGAGACTGGAGCGGGTGTTCAGGAGGGGAGGAAGGGGGGGGGGGGCGGACTGAATGCAGCCGTGCCGGCCGGCCGGCGGCTGGCTCGCGCCGCCCCGCATCCCCAGTCCGGTGCTGCGCGCGTCTGCAGGCGGACCACCTCCGTACGCGACCGCTCCATCGCTCCGCCGAGCTCAAGCTCGCGCGCATTGGCGCCAAACGCGTCCGGTACGAGAGCGAGGAGGAGGCTCTTGGGCGCCGTGCGGAGACTATGACCCGCGACCAATGCCGCGCTTGTCGCCACGAGCCCTGTCCGAGAGTCGCGCCTCACGGCGGCCTGGTGCCGTTGTTCGGAACGGTTTCCGTTCGAACGGCGTCGTCGCGGTGACTCTTTCGGAGTGCGCACGGAAGTCAGGAAGGGTAGCGGAAGTGGTGCAAGGGATGGGTGTCGTTTGAGTGCGGGCGCGCGTGCGTGCAGGAACGCTGCTAACACCCGACTCTCCCTTCTTAGTCCGACTTCGCCTTGTGGATTATTATAAGGATTTGTGTCACCATGGCGCGTCCGCGTCTCGCCATGCTTCTCGTTTTTCAAGGTTAGTATCTCTGACTGAGTTTGACTGGAAACCAGACGTTTTTGTCGCTTCTATCCTCATTATTGTCTTATGTGCAAACGCCGTACTGGCGGCGCTCTCAAAAATGACAAATAGGGCAAAGAGGCGTACGTGTTAATTAGAACCGTCGAAAACGGAACACAGTCAGCCAGGATGTTTCTCGAAGATCTGTCAGAACGAGGAACTCTGTTAATAATTCAGGGAATCTCGCCCTGGTCTAAGGCTTTTTGTAATGTTTGACGGTGACACAAAAAGCATTTCGAATGTACTATACAATACTATAGCGTGCTCCAATTTTTTTTATTAGAGCTTTGGCCAATCTGTTTCCCTCCTAGTATTCACAATAAGCAAAAAACTAAAGTGAAAAGTGTGCGCTCTTGAGGGGCATTGTATAGCGACGGTGTTGGTGCGATAATTATAACGTGGACATTTACACATTGTGACAAGCGCTTTGGCAAGCGAAAGATTTACTGCATTCTCTTTAATGTGTGGCAAAGGGAAACAATAATAGAGGGTCAATAGGGGAGGGGTGGGGATGAGTGGGAATTCAAAATATAGAACTCAAAAAAATGTAGTTTGCGCAGCACACCAGGAAGATAGTGTGAAGCAGATTTCTGTGCGTGTGTATGATGGTATAGGGGAGATGAAACTGGGGGGGGGATGGCTCACGTATCGCTTCGATACTCCTGTGTCTTTTTTGCTCACTCCTCGGTGCAATAGTGAATTTCGTGAAATTTGTAATTACTGTATGCTATATATCATCCCAATGATATAAAATCTCCCATTCTTTTTTGAATCAGTTGGTTTACTCGTCTGGTCACGTTTTAGGAGCTCGGCGCCTGAGAATACGGCCCACGCGTCCACGCGTGCTGATATAACTTCACCAACTTTTCCTATTTTCGGCTCAAGCGCTTGGTTCTTTCATCACCAAGTTCACCAGAGCCTTGCTACTGAGGGTTTTATATACTTATCGATTTACACTTCTCACAATCATATGTGGCAGTGTATTTAGCGGTGGTAAAGACAGGTAGTCGGGAGTCGCTCTGTGCGCGCTCAGGTGTGGCGGGGGCTATAAAAACATGTCCAGGAATGAGCTTTCGATCGACTTGTGACACACAATACACAAGCGCGGCCGGTGGGGTGCAACCGTGCAGAGCCTAGCAGTGACGTGGTGGGAGCGGTGGCAGCAGTCTGTCAGGGTTCGGAAAATAGTCGCAATCAGCGCAAATCAAATCAAACGCGCGGAGATTTGCAAAACACTTTTGGTGTCGGTTCCCCTCCATCACCGTTTTAACTAATAAATAAAAATGGTCCTCCCGTGTGTGGGAATGAATGACACTTCGTGCCACGCTACCGATAGGGGTTTCACCGACGAGCGAGCGGTCGGAAATCTGTTTGTCTATGCTGTCTGTTATCCTAAACGATAACATGGTCACCGGTCGGCCGTGGCGCGTCAAGGTAGCACCACCGGGCTCGGCCTCGTCGTGGCCTCGCTGGCGTGCCGGTGGGGTGTAGAGCGGAGAACTGCAGCACGCAGTCAAAACGTCAAGATCGGCCTCAGCATTAACGTGCCGCCGTCGAGGGTAGTTACTTTACTTATTGGAACTAAACACGCAAATGAACGCAATTCACGTAGTAATTATTTACGAATGACGCATCTTTTAACACTGTGCATCCGCCATTCCATGAGGAATATTGACGATGTACTGACATATTGACTGGTCTGTCTACTCGTGATGAGATACGAATGAAACCGTGAAATGATTTTAGTGATCTGGGGATGGGGAGTACGGCCTGATACTGACTATTATCTCTCACACTCTGCCCTGCCACCTCCTCGTCCCCTTTCTTCTTTTCTCCTCTTCCTGTACCTCTTCGCTTCAGTCAAACGCACCTTTCTCTTTACATGTTTTTATTTTCGTTTAAAAAATAGAAGCGTGCGTTACCAGGCAAGAACCATCGCTCAACAGTCTTTAGGCTGCTAAGCGGCTCGTAAACGTGAGAATATATTTCATCTTCGCGACTTGCTCTGCGCCGATTGGCGCGAGTAGAGATTTGTGAACAAAAAATAAAATATTATCTTTCGAACTTGATATAAGTCATTTTCTTTGCTATGGTTCGAAAATTCGCTGTGGTAACTATTATTTAGTTATAGTGCAGAGTTAGTTTCTCCACCTATGCACTTCACTGCAGTTCATTCCTTTTTAATCCCATTCATTGGATTTCGTCCTCAGAACAGTGAATGGGTTGGCTCCACCCTTCAGTGACCAGCTTCCTTTGGCAACTGTAACTCTTGGCTCCGACAACAAATAGTTAGTGACCACAGCGAATTAATCTCGGATTTAATTGTCCATCAATTTTCACCATGTTGTCACGAAATTAACAACTATCTTCTACGTTTTACAATTTATCGTTATTTTCCCTCTGTTTGGTGCTGACTGTAGAGAGTGCTTGGCCCGGAGAGGAAAGAGATTTGTATGCCCCGCTACTCAAAACAGGATAGAAGCGCGGCAGGAGGAAAATGACAAGGACTAATTCCAACAACTTATTGTAATGGCCCAGGATGTGCCAGTTCGTCATCGATTGGACAGTAATCCGTAGTGCCAAATGTTTCCCGGCGGTGTATCCTGCCCTGCCCCTTGGCCCCGCCTCACCCGCACCCACGCGCCCGTCGCGCCTGCTGTGTGCGCCAGACCAGACTCGATTGTTATCAGAACTCAGAAATCAATTGTGGACCGTCGGATCAGTTGTGGGTCAGGCGGGCAGCGCGTCGACACGCCCCTGCAGGCCGGGACGGGCGGGGAGAGTCGACACCCCTTACGGCCGTCTCTGAGGAAGAAATGCATACATTTTATGGAATAATTGTCTGCTGGAATTACTGCACTCTGCTCATGGCAAAGTATTAAAAATTGCAAGTAATGCCATGCCTGTGGTGCCGTATCAAACATCAACAAGGCACCTCTGCAAACAGGCCGTGTGCAGGCCCTGAGACGTCCCGTGTAAAATTTATCACCTTTGCACTCACATTCGGACTTCCCTGTGAGCCGCCGCTGCTGCCTATAATAGGAGGTGTATCGCAATTAATACTCACTCGGCGCATAAAAGGTCTATTAAACTCTTTAAATGTCACGGTGTGTTTGCGACCGGTATTCGCAATTAAAGCACACTTTTCATGACACGTCGGCCGACATACGTCTGATCCTCCTTAGGTCGTCTTTTTGTGGAGTGTATCGTGTAGTGATAACGATCGTCTTATTAACAGCATGTAATGGGGTTCGACATGTATTCCTTATAAATCACTGCATTGCTTTCTATGTCAAACACAACAGCATGAAAATATCCACTCTTTCAAAATGTGTGAAATGTGCTTCGAATGTTATGTTTTCACCACTGTTTTTTGTTTTGCAATGATCATCGCAATTTCTTGGCAATGAAAACGCCTTCATTGCCACTGGGTCGGCAATGAAGCACATTTTTGGTAATGAACTCCGTTTGGAAATGGGTCATTGCCAAAAATGCGCTTCATTGCCGACCCATTGGCAATGAAGGCGTTTTCATTGCCAAGAAATTGCGATGATCATTGCAAAACAAAAAACAGTGACTAGTCTTTATTCTCTCAGCTCGACGGGAAGGCGCCATCACATGTTAATCGTAGTGCAAAAATATGGGTGCGATTAGAAATGATAATAAGTTGCGTGGGACCCAGCCCCCGCACCCCGTATCTCCCCTGGAGTCTTTTACTGAGAGTAAGATCAATCGCAGACCGATAACGATGGAAATAAATAGGGACAAAGCGTAACAAGGTGGCAAATAATGCATCGATCCGCGGCAGATGTGCTGCACGGGAGCAGAAACAGTGCAACACATAGCATAGCTTCCGTGGAAGTAGAGGAGAAACGAAACAACTGCAGCAACTCCCTTTTCAGCAGCGAAAGTAGTTCTTCTGCACTGCTATAAACATTTCATTACATATTTTCATTGCATATGTTATGAAGCTATGCCTGACGAGAAGTTCTGGCGCTGTAAGGGATGAACTTTTCAGTTCTTTGATTAGTAGAAAACTGCCTGTTTTAAAAGTTCCGCCTTTGTTTTACCACATTACTACATTTCAATTGGCGTTGACACGACTTGTTTTGACATTAGCAATCTAATGGTTTCCGCGTACGCTTGCGACACTTTTCCTTTCGTACCCCGTTCCCAACTTCACGGGGGGTCTCCAAGGCGCCCCCTAGCGCCGCCCAGCCCAGCCTCAAATCAACAGGGGAATTTATTTTCGTCGTGCTCGCTCATACGCGACATACTCGTAAACACGAGCCGGATGGTTTCCATAACGCCAGCTTCCCGCCGCGTGGACGGGACCCGGGACGGGAGGTGTGCGACAGTTTGCCACGGGGCTGCCGCCTCGGCTGCCGCGCGTCCCAGGGGGCGGTCGCGGCCGTGATCGCCATTACGTTGTCAGTGCAGCAGCCCAACACTGTCACCGGCAACGAGCTGTCTACGAGCTGTTTGGAGTGCTGGACGGTCATCCTTCCCCTACCCCCCACTCCTCGGGTGTGTAGAGATAGACGAACAAGTGATGTGGAGACGCAGTGTTGAGTTTTCCCGCCCTCACGACCCGACCGTTCACGCCTGTGCCACGGCAAAGGCCTAAAAATAAGCGAATCGATAAACTATTATCTGATGCTGCATCTGCGAAAGGAAACTAGGCGTCCCATTTTCTTTTCGGTACGAAAGTCTTTGAAAACGAAACTGTTGTGAAAGAGTGGCGGCAAAGTAAGTGCTTGTGGTCGCAGTTCTATGTGTGAGCAGACTAAGCAGGCCCCGTCCCTCTGTGCCTCACCTCCTTCATTCTTTTGTGAATGAATCCACACGCAAGCCAAGTTGGTGTAAATTGATCGCGGGTTGTCTGAGGTATCTAAGAGACTTCCTCTGCTATCAGAGCAGGGCTTGTCACAGTTCCCTTCCCCAGAGGCCCCAGGCCC